CCCCAGATTAACACTGATATGAATCACTCTCAACTCTGCTCTCAGTTTGATTAGCAGAGACTTTTACATTGTCAAAGTAGTTGAGAAAGTGGAGGATGAGAGGTTTGCAGAACAGTTAAATTAAAAGCGTTAATATATGAGGAGTATGAAGTGCCAGCAGCTGCTGAATTGGCTTTCATTTTAGAGCAAACTGAGCTCATAAGTGCAGGCAAGATATTCAGATTTTTTTCTTTTTTTCTTTTTACTATAACACACCTTACATTGAAACATAAATGAAAAAATAAAAGAGCCACTAGCTATGTTTCCATCCGAAGCTGTGAATCTGACTTTTGTTCAAAATTGTAAAATTGCATAAAACATTTGCAAATAAAGCAGCATTTCCATCCCATGTGTTCAAGAGAACAAATATCTGTTATATAAATGGAAGTTTCTGCAATCGGGGAAGGAACTATGTTATTTTCCTCCCTACATCGTAAATGTATTGCGTTTCAGAGCGTACAGACGAAATGCAAAACAACGCTTTCATGTCATCTTGCTTTCGGATGCCTTGGTGTGAGATGCTTCTGGGTGTCCTCATTATACCAAATCATTTTGATGACAGACTTTAGCTTAAGCATTTTATAATGATCAAACCAGCATTTGAGATGCTGTGCAATGAAATTGGTCCACTGGTTAGTCCAGTTATCTCACATCCACTGTTGAGGCAGTCACATGAGTTTTTTGTTGTACATCGAGGGATTTATTTGGTAAATGTGTTGCCATCATAGTTTAGGTGCATGTCTTATAGGATAAAAAATGTATCCCCCTTAATTGAGCGCGTAAGGTTTTTATACACATTTTTAGAATTTATGCACATTTCATTTTTGAAAACGATACCTTTATCGTCTCTGAGTAAACTACAAAAATGTGAATTAGTGAAAATGGTGACATCATGCACATGTGTATTACGTCTTCAGTCAATAGGTGCGTAGTAACATCGCCAACTACTGGCCTGGCAGCATAATACAGCATTTTTAGTCATTTTTGTGGATCCGTGTGAACAGAGAGCGTTCTATCAAGGTTGTCGTCTAAACGAGAAAAACGCAAAGGAAAAACTCTTCCGGTTTTTGTACATTGTTGTCACATAAACTTACCCTTTGACCCTTAAGGTTCCATCGCCCTTTGCAAGGTTCTTAAATCATTGTTAGAAGAGTGAGGTTTGAATGGACTTTAGAAACCCTCGTGGGCCTTCCATTCACCTGCTGAAGGTCCACTGAATATTCGGGTGTACAGCTGTTGTGAGTTAAATTTGAGAGACTGCAGTTTGTTAGCACTGTTTGCTTGTTCACTCCACCTGCAGTTTTCTTATCAGCAATAAATATATAACAATTTCGGATCAACCCTTATCAATTGCATGCTTAAAATAACATACCGTTTAAAGTCCCGCCCATTTCAAGACAACCTGACCCACTTCCGGGTTAGGCCCCGCCCAGTCCGAGTACAGATACAGATACAGATAATTCATATGGTTAACAGATATAGATAATACTGTACTCGCTCATACCTAATATATACATACATAAAAACGTGAATTTGTTACAACAGTGACATCATGCGCAGGCCTGCAGGTTAAATATTAATTAACTTTCAGTATCTGATTTTAAAGGACGTTTTTAGCTTATGTTTGTACAATAAACACTTCAGCGCTTCAATCAGGATGCTGAGATGCAAATCCACTTATTTAAAGGTTTTTTATGAGGTGGTCTTTGTTACTCTCACTCTCTGAATCACATTATGAACGATTGCAACTAATTAGCTGTTAGCTTGTGGACATTGAGAGGACATCAGCGATGTTTAATGATTTAATGAATCTGATCACATCGCAGTTTTGAGATGCCATCTTCTTTATATAGAAAACATGCCCTGAAAAATAACTATAATCATCCTTAACTGCAATCCATTACTATATAGATAATTTTGCTTGTAATTTGCAGTAAGAATCTTGGGTTTGGCTTATAGATATGCTTTAAATTGCCCAATTAGCCCAGTCATTTATTCAGTGTGAGCAGGCTTGCCTATTGTGAATCTCAGCTCAGAGGATTTGATTTTTGTTTTCAGTGTGCAAGATATTTCTTTGGTGTGGATTTTTTAGCAATATTTAATCTGTAATTGCACAGGGATAATTAACTAAATAGCCTTATATGCACATGATATTGGTCCAGAGGACACCAGTGTCCAAAATGTGGCCACACTTGAGTAAAATGTTGTAACAGTCAGTTTAGGCGTTTCCATTTTGCACAATGGTTAGCTGTCAATTAATACGCATTTATGCATAGCCAAATGTCCCCTCTCACACTTCATTACCACTTTCATCTGCACACATTCAGATTGTTTATTTCTCTGTAATTAGTAGGGTTAATTGGCTCACTTTGTCTTCTGCAGCTGGTGTATGCCGTATGTCTCCACAGCATTTTGCACCTGGAAATTGCAGAAATCGTGCTCCTAAAAAATGTTATGAATATCTGTAAAACAATTGACTACAACATATTAGCTGTAGCCTAACACCAGAAGCATCTCTCAAACATTGCATTTTAAAGCAGTCAACATATGCATTGCCATGATACACACACACACACACACACGCACGCACAAACACATGTACGCACACACTTTGAACCTACCCGTACTTTGAGTTTAGATAGGGCCCAAAAAATCAAGCCAGGCCCTAGCCAAGCACATTGTGTCCGAGTCCGGCCCAGCCCGGCCCGACACATTAGATGTAATTATGAGCTTAAAGGGATACTCCACCGTGTTTTCATATTAAACCATGTTATTCCCTTGACTAAGACGAGTTAATACATACCTCTCTCGTCTCAGTACGTGCACTAAATTGCTCTGTCTTGCGGCGAAACTTTGTTTACACTTAGCTTAGCCAGTTCATTCAATACGGGCCAAGCAGAGAAGCGACCAAACACCTCCACGTTTTCCCTATTTAAATACAGTTACTCGAGTAGTGTAACTACTCCGTCACCGTTTTAGGTCGAGTTCCACTACTCGAGTAACTGTATTTAAATAGGGAAAACGTGGAGGTGTTTGGTCGCTTCTCTGCTTGGCCCGTATTGAATGAACTGGCTAAGCTAAGTGTAAACAAAGTTTCGCCGCAAGACAGAGCAATTTAGTGCACGCACTGAGACGAGAGAGGTATGTCTCAACTCGTCTTAGTTAAGGGAACATGGTTTAATATGAAAACACGGTGTAGTATCCCTTTAATATTTAATATTCAATTATTTTAATTGTCACAATTAAAGTATTAAATTTATTAAATTGACCAAGCGCAACATTAATCATTCAATCAAAGATTTATTATTATTAGGCTAATAATGTTGTTTCAACACAATATTTTGTTATTTTGACATAGCCTAATATGTGTGCGTGCCACACGCAAGATGTGCATTTTTAAATCCGGTGACGCGTGCATTGATTATTTATTAATAAACTAGTGTTTCCTTTCAGTGTCAGCTGCAAAGATGAAGTTGACGATCGTCATCTCCGCAGTGAACGCGCCTAGAGAGAAATGCACATCTAGCCTAATCAGAGTAGCCTTTTTCTTTTCGTTTTGAATGGTTTCGTTTAAAGAAATTTCAAGCTTTTTTTAGATGTAGGCTATTTCTCATGTCTGTGAGGCATACACTGAGTTTCGGTTAATTTATGATGAGATGTGCTCCAGTTCACGAGCAATGCAAGTGACCGCGCCAGCGCCTCCAAGTCATGATTAGGCTACATATTGACTGATATATTTGCTTCTTATTTATTAAATCCAGGCAATTGGTTGATAAAAAAATATATATAAATTAAGAAACAATTTCTAGAAAACGAAATTCACTTTAATGAAAGGATTTCTACAAAACAAAATTAATGAAGTGGTCAAAATCATGTCTGACCCATGTCTCCCGATACATTGCGCATCAAATCTTACTCGTGCTGTTCACTTTTCATAATCAACATAGATGGAAAAAAATAACATTATAATATTTTAACAAATTTGAAACTAAATACGCGTATTTAATGGCTACAACACATAGGCTTTTGTAGACCTTACAGACTCTCTATTTGTACAAATGCTGCACATTCATTTAAATCAGAATTTTGCACACATAAGTTGAAAGGCATTTGTTTGTGCATAGTAACATTTATCAACATTTATCAAGTTCACGGATAATTGTGTGTGCATTATTAATTATTATCTTAATGAATAATGCAACAATGACGAAGCAGGTAAACTGCGTTGTTTGTTTCTTCAGAATGGAATGGATCGCAAATGGATCATTTATATTTTTAATGTTTTAATGATAAAGAATGCAACATTAATGCAACACAAAATTAGCAACTATGATAATATAAAATTAAAATTAAAGTAATTTTTTCACCAAGACAGCCCTATTTTGACAGCACTGACGTAATACAGTCTTGCTGATCCCGATTTAAAATCTTAAATATCAAACATGTTTGATGTGATCGGGGCGGCCCCGATGTGTCTGCGAGCAGATCGGGAGATGTAAGACTCGATCTGTGAACGCCTCACATTACCAGATAATCTGCGCCGAACATCGGAACCGATCGAGGTCCTCGACAAGATTTTTTCTCAGATTCTCGGGAGGGGGAAATCGGGCATAAATCGGCCTAAAACTCCTGTAGTGTGAGCCAGGCTTTAAGATGTAATTTTCTTTTTTTTTAACGGTGGCCAACGGTTAACAGTGATAAGGTAAAGCTAAGAGTGATCCAGAACAACCTTCAGAATGTATGACTTACAGAAGGTATACATAACTAAGAACGTTTCGGGAAACACGTATTAACGATAAAGTACAGCTTCAGGTAAAACTTAAGAACGACGTAGCGTTAAGAAGGTTTCAGGAAACGCAGCCTAGATTAGTGATCAAGAGGAAATCAAATCAGATGCATCTTTTACCATCTTTTATTTAGCTCCGTTGTACCCTTATTTATTTGTTTGTTTGTTCTGCAGAAATAGAAGCCATGGATAGCATTGCAAAGACAACCCAAAGCCTTACCACTGCTGAGGACATGAGGAACCAAACCAAACTCATCATGAAGCCCTATGCCAACTGGGAAGAGTATCTGACTCCAGCACCGCTTTCAATAGCCATCCTGGGAGAGCTGGTGTTCATCTCGTCCGCAACAGATTTCTCCATCAATAACAATCTCCCCGAAGGAGGATACAAATACATCAAACACCCTGATTCCTTCCGCGCTTGCCTCATGCAAGTGTGCAACTCTGGTTGGTGGGCATTTAATGAGGCCCATAATAACATGGATCAGATTCGCCTCCACACTGCCCGCGTTCCAGATTACATGAAGCAAGCTGTGAAGATTCTGTTCCAAGGGGATGATGAAGTTGTCAAAGCACATCTTCCTAATCAGCTGGAAAGTATCAAAGTCATTGCAGATGAATGTCTAAAGTTGTCTGAAGACACCAAAGATTATTTTTCTGTTGTCATCGGAACCATCCACGAGCTGTTAGAAGTATGTATGAGTGCACAGAACTTTTATGGGGAAGAGATGGAAGAAATCAAGAAGAAACTAGATGAGGCCAAACTGAGAAAGCAGTCAGCTGAAGACGCCAAGAAAAGGACTCAGAAGCTAATGGATGCCATGGAGAAGCAAATGAAAGAGGCTCAGGAAGAATATCATAGAGCTATGGCTTCTCTCCCTAGTGGATGGGATATGATTGGCATGGATTTTGTGAGTGGGATTACAGAGAGCATGACACGCATGGTTGATGGAATGTTAATTGTTATGACTCAGCAAGCGGAGAGATATGGGTATTCTGCAACTAAATCTAATGATAATACTGAGGGCAACATCAAAGATCAGGGAAATACAATAGATTTGGTTGCTGAAATAACTCCATATAGTAAGTCTGGTGAAATCGTAAAATATGTCCAGAAACTTGAGGAGGAAATGAAAGTGAATTGTGAGGATGATGAAATTGATTGGACAAATCTGTATGATCAGAAGAATACATGTACAACAACTGATTACATAAAAGAACAGTTCGAAAGAATCAGCACAGGTTTAAAGGATCCTGACTGCCCAGCAAAGACAGAAGCTCAGAAGTTATGCCACAAGGGCATGGAAATATGCAACCAGCTGGCAAAATATGCACCAGATGGCAAATGTGACAAAGACAAAAGCAATGAGATAAAAGGTAAAGTCTTGGATCTGATCAAGTCAGCTCGTGATTTTGATTGCAAAAGCAAAAAAAAAACACATTCTCCAGCCATTTCTCCAAAGCCACCAATGATGCAAAAAGAAGAAAACAAGTCAGGGCACAAGCGTCCTTCTCAGCAAGCAACAGATAATGCACGATTCGCCATTGAGCAGACCCGAGCTCAGCTGAACAACACAAGTGAGACCTATGAGAATTATGCGAAGAGCTTTGAGAATAACCAGAAGGAACTAACTGATATCCTGGTCACTATGAGAAATTGTAAAGTGAAAGAGATCAACTTCAAAGATACCATAGCAATGCTGGCCAAAGGAATGGATGCCATGGGGAGAGTGGGTGAGCAGTGGGCGAAGATGGTACGCTTCTTTCAGATGGTTTCCACCATTGTGAAATGCAGCCTGAGCACAACTCTCACAGACTTTGTCTCAACATCCGAGGACACACAAACACTCTCCTACAATGCAAAGCTCTTCTCAATAGATCAGCTGTACACTCAAGCCTCCAAAGCCTGTAACATTGCTAGTCTGGTCCATATGATCTCTGGAACATACACAGAGATTTCCGACAAGTACCTGATGGACCGTGTCAGTTCACTGAGCAAACTGATGGCCATGGATAAGAGTAAGCCAGAATTTTTGGGTGAGCGACTAAAGTTCGAGTGTGCCTGTAATGAGGCACAGAAAGGCATCTTAATGCTTGTCCTGGAGAATAAAAAGGAGTTTGAAAAGAAGAGCACTGCAAGAATAGAAAAGATCGATCGAGAGTTGCTTGCCATTCTGCCCGCTGTTCCTCCAGAGAACATCAAGATGATTGAAGACTCTGTAAAAGCTGCGTTCTGTGAGGAAGATGAAGCATCATCCTACTACTGAGAGGATACACTGAAGAAATGTGTGTTTTTCAATTTTACATTGGTAAGCACCGGATGATCATATATATTTCAGATTGAAGCTTTGTTTTTCTTTAACATGTAGAAATAATGGGTCTTTTTTTTTTATTCTATTATTTGACATTTTTTCTTCAATCAGGATTGTCAGAGTGTTTGATTTTCAAAAAGAAAATTTTACAATTTTGTAATATTAAAACTAAATATTTGTAATATTGAAATCACATTTCACCTAAATTTGATTTCAACCTTTTCTGTGTGATAGTTTTGTTTGTTTAAATAGTTTAGGATATCATGATTTAAACAACTGTGTATCTCTCTTGCTTTTTAGAAAATATGAGGAAAGACAAACACAACAACCATTCCTGTCATCCCTCAAAATCTGAAGTTTTGTTTAGTGGGGAACTGGAGAACATCTTTTTGAGTATCGGTATTTAGTGGAATATTACTTATAGTGTTTGCTTATGTATTTCTGTTTGGGTTTTAGTGGTACTTCTTTTTACTTTTCCATAGTGTGTTTCTATTTAGACAAGTACTCTATGCAAATATTAATGGAAAGCAACAAACAGCTGTTATAGTTCTGCTTTAAGTGTGTTTGTTCTTATATTGTCTTCTGCTATTGATTTTAATTACATATAATGGACTCTTATGCTTGCCAATCTGTGCCACTTCCTAATAACTTTCCATGATTTAAACAAATTGGTAATGCTTTACAATAGTTTTAGTTGTCAACATTACTAACAATAAAAAGTACTTGTAAATCTATTATTCTCAGTTGATTTCATTTACTAGTTAAATTTTTACATTTTACATTTACATTATAAAATACTTGTTACATTATTACATTTTACATAATGCATCTCTAACCCTAACCCTAATACATTATTAAAATCAAAAGTCCATGTATAGCGCTTTGAGGTCCCAGAAAAAGTGCTATATAAATGTAACGAATTATTAATTATAAAAGTTACCAAAAGTTGGTAATATTATTTAATGGTTCCGAACTTACAATATATTTGTTATGAACTATCGTTAACAAAGATTAGTAAATACTGTAACAAATGTATTGCTCATTGTTAGTTAATAAATTAACCAACCAGGGCCGGCCCGTGGCATAGGCGGTATAGGCAAATGCCGCCAAAATGAGTGAAAGAGTGAATTTTTTTTTTTTTTTTTTTACTAATACTATACCATTAATTCGAAATACTACAAAATAAAGCAAAACAACTCCACAAAAACGTAACTAAGTCCCCCGACTCCGGTCCAGCGCATCAATCTTCCCCCGCCCAGCGAGTGCTTGAAGTGCGTCAGAAACAGAGCGCGCGCGATCAGTTTACTGTTGGTCATTTGTTGTGCGTCGCCCCTCGCCGCATCCAATGTAGACAGCATTGCTTTCGTTTGAGGGCGCTTAACACACTCAAGCACTGCCCGGGCCTGGCAGCTCGCGCCAGCTCGAGACACGGGGAAAGTTTCCTCATTGTGACGGATGGCCGAATTTTCATGACACATAAATTAGCATTATAGCCTGCGATAGATACAGTGCCAAAGAGAAGAGGCTACAAGGGGATAAAGACAGAGGTAAAGTGATGTAATGAATGAACAGTTTATCTAATTGCATAGTAGTAAGATACTATAATTTAATGGCAGTTATTTTTACCTTATAACTTTATGCTAACAGTAGTCCTGAGTTCTTCAGAGCCCCAAGACAATGCGATTTGTAACAATCATGTCAGTCTTTTTTAGACGCATTTACTATCACTTTTATTATTTAATGGTTTACTATACAGTTGTGCAGTTTTGAGGGGGATATATGGCATTTTTTAAAATGTATTTGCCAAAATTATTAACGATATTTATAGGCTACAGGTTTATTATGTTTTATGTAAAATTCACATTAAAGAAGACATTTCGCAGTTTCATTCATGTTGAAAACATGAACCGTGCCATAATTTAGTGGAAGATTGCTGCCATCAACTCCCAAACGAACACTTTTGCTAGTGCTCAATGAATAGTTTGTGCATGCATGACATTTGGACGATGAAATCACTGTTTTATCCAGAGCGGCTATATATAAATTAGATAAATTAATATTTTTTTACAACAAAATAAACCATCACTGACCATACTTAAGCTTGATTATGACACTATTTTCTTCTAGATCTGCTGTACAGGAGAAGCAAACTTTGTTGCATTATTTTCCTGTTATCACTGTAAAGCTGCCTTGAAATAATCTGTATTGTAGGCTAAAAAGCATAAAAATAAAGGGGACTTGACTTGAATGCTAGATGTAATGCTCTTGCTATATATATATATGACTAAATAATCACCAACACAATGATGGGGTGAAATGGGCTGTAATGCCTGAGGCACCAGGTAAAATCTTGCCTACGGCAGCAAATTGGTCAGGGCCGGCCCTGTAACCAACATCAATTAATGAAACCTCATTGTAAAATGTTACCAAAAATCTTATCTAAAGATAAGTTCTGTTCTGTATAACCTGTTGTATAACCTGTATAACCTTCTGTATAACCTGTTGTATAACCCAGCCTTTCTCAAAGTGGGTGCCGCGGCACACTGGGGTGCCCCCTGACTTTGTCAGGGGTGCCGCCAAAAAATTACGTAGGCTAAAAAAAAATATATATATATATATATATATATTTGAATTTACATAAATACATTCTTCTTCTTTTTAAACATATGAACGTATTAATAAAATTGTAAATTCATTTTAGATAAATATATATATAAAATTAACCATAAAAATCCGTCTCACAAGACCGAAGCAAGACACACACACAACTTGACGCAAGTGACGCAACCCATAGCACCGCGTTATAGCAACAACACCGACCGCGCGAACGCGCGTCACACAGACACTGCAGGCTCTGACACACATACAAACTATACTATACTTCTGCATAGCGTGTCTCTTTTTACAACAAAAATGTGAATTCTGCCGGTATTCATGACAGTCTCATGCATACAGATACAGATTCGGCCTAAAATCGCCTACGTAGGCGAAATTTGTTTGACATTTCTAATCGTAAACACAGCCATGTCGAAGCCTGCAGTAATGTTTTTCATTGATGTTATGGCAGTCCACTCTGCTTATTGTTTTTCGAGAATCTTGCACTCCTGTTTGTCATTGTGCACGAAACTTCATGCCAATAAATCAGAAATATTGCTGACTTGTGCGCGTCTCAAGCGCCCTCTTTACGCTCGTCCTAATGCCTGTTAGTTGTCCGTGGATTTGCCTATATTTGGCGTTGAAAATGGAAACGTCTTTAGACATGGAAAATCGATTTTACAATCGATTCAATGAACGTTTATGTCTCAAAAATCGTTGTCAAAAAAAATTTAGTTGTTATTATTATTGTTATTGTTATTGTTATTTACAGTTCGTATTATGCTCTGTTCATTACTGTTCTGTCTAAATAAACAGGACATTTGCATTTACATTTGGGTTATGCAGTGTTTTTTATTTATATTTTACACTGGGGTGCCTTGAGATTTTATGCACTTTTGAAAGGTGCCCCGACTGAAAAAAGTTTGAGAAAGGCTGGTATAACCTGTATAACCTTCTAACCTGTTGGTCAGAGTTCATGTTTAAGGCTTTTAATAGACATTGTTATCAACATAACTTTAAAAAAAGTTAATAAATGTTGATTATTATAACAAACCACTTCATGTTATTACCTAATTGTTATATTACCCCGCTTTTTTTCACATAGACATGCAAATTACTATCCAAACTTAAATGGTTGTAATTCAAGAATGCTTTTGGAATATAGACCTTTGGTCTTGTTTTAAAGAAGACATTTGCCAGATTATTGTAGAAGTGAAATAATTTATGAAAGTGAAAGTGAAAATATAAGTTTGAGTTCATGAAAATGTAAAAAAATAAAATAAAAAGATTTTAATTGGGCGCAGTACCAAACCTTTTCACTAGATGGAGTCAAGCTTCCTTACTGCCCATATAAGGGCGTCTCCATTTTCATATATGTTTTAAGTGATCTGAACCATGTATTTCCATAATTTTCATACAATTTATGAAGTAGATTCAGAAGTAGTATGGGTGGTTTTTTACCAATCTTTCATGATTTTTCATGTTTATTGCTATTTTAAAATAAAGGCCTAAACACACCTAATGAGTATGAAATATTCTTTTTGCAAATTGATAAATTACTACTCCTCTGTATTTTTTTTTTTTTTTTAAATATGAAAATATTTAACAAAATATGAAAACTAGAGATTGTAAGCTTTCAAATAATATATAGTTGTCAATATTACTTTAAGTTTTTTACTAAGATATTATTGTTCTAAATATATAATGATGGGATGAAGGGAACAAAATGTATTTTACTTATTGATTATATTAATAATTGCTACCAATAACAGGCATTTAAAATCTTAATATTATCCCAAAGCTGGACATGATGTTATAAAGATACAGCCACAACATTATTAATTAATATTTACCATACAATTAACACTTCTTTCAATAAAATCTGTAGTCTTCAGGCTTCACAAAACTTATTTTAATATTATAACTATTTATGTTCAAGTCACTCTGAAAGAAGCGTAAATGACAGAATGCTGCGGTCACGATACAGAGAGAAGCAGAAAGGTAGTAAATTCCAATATGGTTTATTGAACAGAGGCACGGAGTGAACAGCAGAGGAGACTGGTGAGTATGTATCAGAGAATCAGAACTGGACGGTGAACTTGAACGTTAATCTTGATATCTTGATTGCAGGTGATGGAAGAGCAGGGGTTCTCAAACTATCTGGAGATAGGGACTCCTTCATAGGGCAGAAAAAATTCAAAGGACCCCCTCATAACCGCAACACAAATGTAATAGCATGTGCGTGTGAGTGTGTGTGTGTGTGTGTGTGTGTGAGAGAGAGAGAGATAGAGAGAACGATGGGAAAGTGGCAGGGGCGGCGCCAGAGAATTTTTAACGCAAGTGCTGAGGGGGTGCTAGAT